TGACTGTGAATGATTACGTTACGATAAGTAGGTATCCAAGTCCCTTAACAGAAGCTTCCAAAAAGTATTCAAACTGGTACTTGATTTGCCACTAGAGCTTAGAACCCTTAGCAAACCCAAACCAAACTTTTGTATTATTGTATTTGGACAAACCAGAAACAAAACAAACTTGCTTGTTTGTATAGCACATATAGTACATATGTGCTATACTAGACCTTAGAATGTTTATGTTTGCATTTGGGCGATAATTTTGTTCGGACTCTTTCAAATTAACAGCACAAAAAAGTGGTTTACTGGTGGTCCATCACTACATATTGGATATTTGGATCAAGTAATGTAACTATTGATCAAGTAATGTAAATATTGATCAAGTAATATAAATATTGATCAAGTAATGATATTATTGATATTGATAAAGTATTATCATATTGATAAAGTATTGATCAATTAATATATAAGTATAGTATAAGTATTGATCAATTAATATAAATATTGACCAAGTAGTATAAATATTGTTAATTTCAGGAGGATGGGCTAGAGAAATTGAGTCATTGCACTAATCTAAGAATGCTCGGAAGGCTGAGCTGGGAGCTCGATCCTACAAGCACATCTACGTGAGTCTCACACACACACACACACACACACACACACACACACACACACACACACACACACACACAAAATGAAGGAGACTGAAGGAACTATACCTGACGACGCTAGAAAAGTAGAGCCATGCAAAACTTGGGGGGATTGACAGTGGAAAAAAAATTAAATGCTTACAATGACCACCAACAGGCCAAGAAGGCATACATGGAAGCTTGACACTCATCTGAGTCAAAGAAATTTTAGAAAGTTTCATTTTAGTGTGAGAGAAGTGGAAAATGGATTGAACTAAAGGAACAGGTTGTAGAAGCAAACTCAATTTGCATTTTTAAAAAAGCAGATATGATAGGAAATTTGGAAGAAATTATTGCATTAGACAACCAGCGGCTAGAAATGCAAGCCCAGGAGCTAATGTTCGATCCTGCTGGCACAAATAGGTGATTACAAATAGGAGAGTACAGTCACACATCGTCTGGATGTAGCTTGCAGCAGCTGTCCCCAGGTACAAATTTACTGCAAGGTGAACAGAGAACATCAGGTGAAAGAAACTCTTCCCATATGTTTTTACCACGGGTGGGCATCAGATCCGTATTCGTGAACTAGGATTACAGAACGTTGTACGCTCGGCCGCCAGACACCCGTGTGTGTACTCACCTATTTGTGCCTGTAGGATCTAGCTCTAGCTCTTGGGCATCGCTTTTCTAGCCGTTGGTTGTCTAATGTAATGATTCCTGGCCCATCTCCCTATCATACCTGCCTTAAAGTTATGGATGGAGTTAGCCTCTACAACCTGCTCCTTTAGGTCATTCCATTTACTCACTGACCTTACGCTAGAGGAAAACTTTCTTTTTTGTGCCTGCAGCATCGAGCTGTTAGCTCTTGGACTCCGCCTTTCTAACCGTAGATTGTCTGATGTACTGACACCCCCAAACTATATTCCCTCTATGATATCTATTACATATTTTTCTCACACATACAACCCCAGGATGCAGCCTGCAATAACTGTTTAACTCCCACATACTTATTTACTGCTAGGTGAACAGGGGCTTCAGGTGAAAGAAACTGTCCATTTGTTTGTCTCGACCAGGAATCGAACACGGTCCCGTAGGACTACTAAGGGACCGTGTCCACTCAGCTACGAGGACCCTAAATATGTGTGTACTCACCTAGTTGTGCTTGCGGAGATTGAGCTCTGGCTCTTTGGTCCCGCCTCTCAACCGTCAATCAACTGGTGTACAGATTCCTGAGCCTATTGGGCTCTATCATATCTATATTTGAAACTGTGAAGATATGATAGAGCCCAACCTCTATAACGGAGTCAGTCTCCACCACATCACTTACTAATGCATTCCCTTTATTAACTACTCTGACACCAAATAAATTATTTCTGATGTCTCTAAGACTCATTTGGGCACTTAATTTCCACCTGTATCCCCCTAGTGCATGTGCCCCTTCTGTTAAATAAACTGTCTTTGTCTACCCTATCAAATCCTTTGAGAATCTTGTATGTGGTGATCATGTCCCCCTAACTCTTCTATCTTCCAGCGACGTGAGATTTAACACACACAGACAATGTGTGTGTGTGTTTTGTTGCCCAAACAGATATGAATAATTTACCTAGGTTCTCTCAGAGCATGAGATTGGTGAAAACATTTATGTGAGTTGGTATGAATAGGCTGTACATGATAAACGGATGAGGCATGATAAACGGATGAGGCATGATAAACGGATGAGGCATGATAAACGGATGAGGCACGATAAACGGATGAGGCATGATAAACGGATGAGGCATGATAAACGGATGAGGCACGTTAAACGGATGAGGCACGATAAACGGATGAGGCAATACTCGGATGTCAACATATGCCGAATCATCAAAGAGCTTCCGAAATTTAGAAGCAGCTGGTGGTACCTTGAATGAGCCAGCGCGACCAGAAAGCATAGCTGGACTTGGGTCATGACAAGCTAAAGCAACAATGAAAATTTGCTGAAGAGGGCCAGAGGGGATGTCACAGATGTGAGGCAGAGATGGCATATTGGTTCCATCATGATGGGAGATGATGTTATGCATGAGCTAGCTACGGGGGCATCTCCCCAGGTGAACATGTCCCCCAGCTGGTAGACTTCCACCCCCATTCCAGCGGGGCTGACCTATGGCTTAATTCAAGAGTTGATATCGTGACTAGTATGTGCGCTTATGACATAATTAACATTGGGCCAGTAATATGAGAAAGTCAAGTTGATCTGCAGAAACCAGGATGATGTGGAGGGTGGGAGTGTACAGAGGCTGGTGGGGAGCTGGGGCTAGATTCACGAAAGCACTTACGCAAGCGCTTACGAACGTGTACATCTTTCCTAAATCTTTGATGGCTTTGGTTACATTTATTAATCAATTTACAAACATGAAAACTTCCCATTCAACTGTTGTTATTGTTATAAACAGCCTCCTGGTGCTTCGGAGCTCATTAACTGTTTAATAATTGGAAACAAAGCCGCCAAAGATTGAGAAAAGATGTACAGGTTCGTAAGTGTTTGCGTAAGTGCTTTCGTGAATCTGGCCCCTGGTCACGAAGAATGGGATTAGGACACTGGGAGGTGTTTATGGGTGATGTAAACACTGTAGATATATCACATATATTTATTAAGTAGTGTTTAACTCATCCTAATCTTGTGTGGTCCTCTGCCAATACGGAAACCTCAAGTAAAGATTGGTGCACGATACGATAATGGTGAAACATAATGAAATACTGTAATATACGTGGAAATATACTGAAATATCGTTACAGCATCTGGTGGCAGCGGTGGGATTTGGAAGAATGGGGAACACTGATTGAGAGCACAACACTGAGAGCACTACACAGTTTGAGAGCAGAACACTGAGAGCACAACACAGTTTGAGAGCAGAACACTGAGAGCACAACACAGTTTGAGAGCAGAACACTGAGAGCACAACACTGAGAGCACAACACAGTTTGAGAGCAGAACACTGAGAGCACAACACAGTTTGAGAGCAGAACACTGAGAGCACAACACAGTTTGAGAGCAGAACACTGAGAGCACAACACAGTTTGAGAGCAGAACACTGAGAGCACAACACAGTTTGAGAGCAGAACACTGAGAGCACAACACAGTTTGAGAGCAGAGCACTGAGAGCACAACACAGTTTGAGAGCAGAGCACTGAGAGCACAACACAGTTTGAGAGCAGAGCACTGAGAGCACAACACAGTTTGAGAGCAGAACACTGAGAGTACAACACAGTATGAGAGCAGAACACTGAGAGTACAACACAGTATGAGAGCACAACACTGAGTGCACAACACAGTTTGAGAGCACAACACTGAGAGCACAACACAGTTTGAGAGCACAACACTGAGAGCACAACACAGTTTGAGAGCACAACACTGAGAGCACAACACAGTTTGAGAGCAGAACACAGTTTGAGAGCAGAACACAGTTTGAGAGCAGAACACTGAGAGCACAACACTGAGAGCACAACACTGAGAGCACAATACTGAGAGCACCACACAGTTTGAGAGCAGAACACTGAGAGCACAACACAGTTTGAGAGCAGAACACTGAGAGTACAACACAGTTTGAGAACAACACAGTTTGAGAGCAGAACACTGAGAGTACAATACAGTTTGAGAGCAGAACACTGAGAGCACAACACAGTTTGAGAGCAGAACACTGAGAGCACAACACAGTTTGAGAGCAGAACACTGAGAGCACAACACAGTTTGAGAGCAGAACACTGAGAGCACAACACAGTTTGAGAGCAGAACACTGAGAGCACAACACAGTTTGAGAGCAGAACACTGAGAGAACAACACAGTTTGAGAGCAGAACACTGAGAGCACAACACAGTTTGAGAGCAGAACACTGAGAGCACAACACAGTTTGAGAGCAGAACACTGAGAGAACAACACAGTTTGAGAGCAGAACACTGAGAGAACAACACAGTTTGAGAGCAGAACACTGAGAGTACAATACAGTTTGAGAGAACAACACAGTTTGAGAGCAGAACACTGAGAGAACAACACAGTTTGAGAGCACAACACTGAGAGCACAACACAGTTTGAGAGCAGAACACTGAGAGCACAACAGGAGGGAGGGAGCCGGTCGGCCGAGCGGACAGCACGCTGGACTTGTGATCCTGTGGTCCTGGGTTCGATCCCAGGCGCCGGCGAGAAACAATGGGCAGAGTTTCTTTCACCCTATGCCCCTGTTACCTAGCAGTAAAATAGGTACCTGGGTGTTAGTCAGCTGTCACGGGCTGCTTCCTGGGGGTGGAGGCCTGGTCGAGGACCGGGCCGCGGGGACACTAAAAAGCCCCGAAATCATCTCAAGATAACCTCAAGATAACACAGTTTAAGAGCACAACACAGGATTTGCTAGAATGTATAACACCACCTCACAGATCAATAACTTGGAAGATGATGCAGAGATAAGGTATGTATACAGTGAATTATAGATTATCCGGCCGGTGCAAAGGTCCATAATGTTTGGCGAACCTGGTGTGGCTGAGTGTAGTGGCTAAGTAGTATGGCTGAGTGAGGTAGCTAGGTGCTGTGGTCGAGTGGTGTGGCAGAGTGGTGGTGGGGGTTGCCGACTGATTTGACCAAGTTAGTTTTCCGAGTTGTGAGGCCAAGTAAGGTGGCCAGAGGTTTGGAAAGCTACATCAGTTTCCCAACAGGAGAGATGAATTGTTCATGCAAACTGATTTATGATGTTAATTATTTGATTTATTTCATTTAGTGGAACGTTCTTGAAAAATCATATTAATTTTGGGCGTATACCTATATTTGGTAATGATTCTTCCGTTTGGGGAAGCCAGAAGAGTAGGAGAGATCATAGAACGTGCGTTGAGCATAAAGCACAGTGGGTCATTAGCAACCCGTTCTCGCAAATTTAATAAGTCAATATTGACTTATTAAATATGTGCATAGGTGACATACTTAACATAATAGATACCCTTAAAAAGATTCATAGAAAACACCGACCTTACCTAACCTTGTTAGTATCTTAAGATAAACATCTTATTGCTTCGTAATTACAATTATTACCTAACCTATAATAGGTATAGGTTAAGTAATAATTGTAATTACGAAGCAATAAGATGCTTATCTTAAGATACTAACAAGGTTAGGTAAGGTCGGTGTTTTCTATGAATCTTTTTAAGGGTATCTATTATGTTTAGTATATCACCTATGCACGTAGTTAATAAGTCAATATTGACTTTACGAATTTGCGAGAACGGGTTGGTCATTAGCCCAGAGCGCTGTGAGAGCAGTTACTTGTTGGCGCTTAACGTGGATATTATTCATTTGTGTGGGGGGGGGGGGAGAGTGGAGACGACAGTGGACGTGTCTGTGAGGCAGCTGGTGTAGTGTGACAGAGTGTGTATTGTCACTGGACGCCGGGTGTAGAGCACGTGGTTATGGGGTGTGTGCGCGCCACGTGTACTGGAATGTGTAGGAAGTAATGGCATGGGTCACACCTCTTAAGGTGGGGTCACGCCTCACACGGTGGGGTCACACCTCACAAGGTGAGGGTCACACCTCACAAGGTGGGGGTCACACCTCACAAGGTGGGGGTCACACCTCACAAGGTGGGGGTCACACCTCACAAGGTGGGGTCACGCCTCACAAGGTGGGGTCACGCCTCACACGGTGGGGTCACACCTCACACGGTGGGGTCACACCTCACAAGGTGGGTCACGCCTCACAAGGTGGGGTCACGCCTCACACGGTGGGGTCACACCTCACACGGTGGGGGTCACACCTCACAAGGTGGGGGTCACACCTCACAAGGTGGGGTCACACCTCACAAGGTGGGGGGTCACACCTCACACGGTGGGGGTCAGTCCTCACAAGGTGGGGGTCACGCCTCACACGGTGGGGGTCACACCTCACAAGGTGGGGGTCACACCTCACAAGGTGGGGGTCACACCTCACAAGGTGGGGGTCACGCCTCACAAGGTGGGGGTCACACCTCACAAGGTGGGGGTCACACCTCACAAGGTGGGGTCACGTGATTAACGGATTAGCGGAGATGACTTGGGATATGGGCGTCGGATTTGTGGGTGAGTGAATTATTGCGCATGGCACGGAGTTAGTGGTGGTTAATGAAGTCGTTAGTGGGTTTAATGATCAGTGGTGGCAAGATGTTTTGTTTTTCTGGGTAGTGATTTGTGGTGATTCTGGAGTTGGAGAGGTTTTGTGCTTATGATGGAAGCGCAAGGTCGGAGAATGAGTTAACTTGCATGGAGGCAGTTAAGCCCTATGGGGAATATTACTGTCATATGTAAGAGGTTCGCTAGGTATAAAATACAGTAATAATTAATGTTGACTAATTATTAGTGCGTGGTGGTGGTGGTAGGAGGTGAGTGCAGAGAGTGGGCTGACTCTATACATTACTGTGGAAAGAGAAGTACTCATCAAACTATATTCTCAAATACCTGGCAGGAGGTGAGCCAGAGGCAGTACATGTATACAGTGTAATATTAATAGGATTAAGATTAAATATAATTGTTTGAGATTAATTAATGTGCATACATTTATTTCACATCTGTTAAATTAATATGAAGAGGGAGTTAATGGGAGGAGAGTAAATGTACAGGAATAAAGCTATTTGGCACAACAGCTGACTTGAAGAGACACTCCCCTGGAAACACAAACCGAAGCTGTCTCTATTTTCCGCTTGTAACAACTTGAAATAAAGTTGCTACATCTTGGCTTAACGTGTTTATGACGTATTAGAACGTTGTTACAACTTGCTATATTGGTTGTTATAACTGGTTAGGTGTTAAAACTTGCTCGAACGTTGCACCAACGTCGTAGTTTCGGTGTGTGTTTGGTGGGTCCACACTAGAGATTTGCGTATCTTCTGATACATTACCTTTTCGACACATTTGCCAAGTGGCATGCATAACACGGTCCTCTGGGACCAGGTCACGGAGCTTCGTGAAACAATAAGAACTGAATGGTAGAGAACCACGAGGCCTTAGAGGGGCAGAGCGCCCTGAAGAAGACGAAATCGATGGAAAGGAAACCCATTTGTGAAGGTAGAGGCAAGACCCGACCTGTGTCCTCAGAGCGGGGCTACGGCCCAGTAGCAACTGCTATCATGGCTGAGTTGAGGATGTATAAGGGGAACACAGCCAGGAGCCGAGGGGGCTGCCGTGTACTGGTGAGGTAAGAGCCAGGAGCCGAGGGGGCTGCCGTGTACTGGTGAGGTAAGAGCCAGGAGCCGAGGGGGCTGCCGTGTACTGGTGAGGTAAGAGCCAGGAGCCGAGGGGGCTGCCGTGTACTGGTGAGGTAAGAGCCAGGAGCCGAGGGGGCTGCCGTGTACTGGTGAGGTAAGAGCCAGGAGCCGAGGGGGCTGCCGTGTACTGGTGAGGTAAGAGCCAGGAGCCGAGGGGGCTGCCGTGTACTGGTGAGGTAAGAGCCAGGAGCCGAGGGGGCTGCCGTGTACTGGTGAGGTAAGAGCCAGGAGCCGAGGGGGCTGCCGTGTACTGGTGAGGTAAGAGCCAGGAGCCGAGGGGGCTGCCGTGTACTGGTGAGGTAAGAGCCAGGAGCCGAGGGGGCTGCCGTGTACTGGTGAGGTAAGAGCCAGGAGCCGAGGGGGCTGCCGTGTACTGGTGAGGTAAGAGCCAGGAGCCGAGGGGGCTGCCGTGTACTGGTGAGGTAAGAGCCAGGAGCCGAGGGGGCTGCCGTGTACTGGTGAGGTAAGAGCCAGGAGGCCCGCTGGGAAATGTTACAGATGCAGTGATGGTGAGGGAGACTCTGGTATCGTCATGGTCCTGGAGTACGCTGGCGAAGCTGTGTGGAGTCTAATGGTCTGGAATATGTGGCTGCAGTCACATATATACCTGCATATATATACTCTGGCCATGTCTGAAGAGAGGGAAGGAGAAGGGAGGATATTTGAAGAAAGGGAAGGAGGGAGAGGAAAGAAATTAGTAGCGAGAGAGAGGGTATAGGCAGAGAGGGTGAAGTGTGAAAAGGGGGGGGGGGAGGGAGAGTGGGTGGGGGGAGGCAGACCCGGGCACCCCACTAGTCCACTATACAGTAGCCTCGACATAAACCATCCAGCACGTGTAACAACCCGCGCATAAAGCGCACTCCTTTATAAAAGAACTCTCATTTAAACCAACCTCCACTACACCACACACATAAACCAACCTCCTCTACACCACACACATAAACCAACCTCCTCTACACCACACACATAAACCAACCACCACTACACCACACACATAAACCAACCTCCTCTACACCACACACATAAACCAACCTCCACTACACCACACACATAAACCAACCTACTCTACACCACACACATAAACCAACCTTCTCTACACCACACACATAAACCAACCTCCACTACACCACACACATAAACCAACCTCCACTACACCACACACATAAACCAACCTCCTCTACACCACACACATAAACCAACCTCCACTACAACACACACATAAACCAACCTCCTCTACACCACACACATAAACCAACCTCCTCTACACCACACACATAAACCAACCTCCACTACAACACACACATAAACCAACCTCCACTACACCACACACATAAACCAACCTCCTCTACACCACACACATAAACCAACCTCCACTACAACACACACATAAACCAACCTCCACTACACCACACACATAAACCAACCTTCTCTACACCACACACATAAACCAACCTACTCTACACCACACACATAAACCAACCTCCACTACACCACACACATAAACCAACCTACTCTACACCACACACATAAACCAACCTCCTCTACACCACACACATAAACCAACCTCCACTACACCACACACATAAACCAACCTCCACTACACCACACACATAAACCAACCTCCACTACACCACACACATAAACCAACCTCCTCTACACCACACACATAAACCAACCTCCACTACAACACACACATAAACCAACCTCCTCTACACCACACACATAAACCAACCTCCTCTACACCACACACATAAACCAACCTCCACTACAACACACACATAAACCAACCTACTCTACACCACACACATAAACCAACCTTCTCTACACCACACACATAAACCAACCTCCACTACACCACACACATAAACCAACCTACTCTACACCACACACATAAACCAACCTCCACTACACCACACACATAAACCAACCTACTCTACACCACACACATAAACCAACCTCCACTACACCACACACATAAACCAACCTACTCTACACCACACACATAAACCAACCTCCTCTACACCACACACATAAACCAACCTTCTCTACACCACACACATAAACCAACCTCCTCTACACCACACACATAAACCAACCTTCTCTACACCACACACATAAACCAACCTACTCTACACCACACACATAAACCAACCTCCTCTACACCACACACATAAACCAACCTCCACTACACCACACACATAAACCAACCTACTCTACACCACACACATAAACCAACCACATAAACCATATTCTACCTATAGCAATATCCACATACAGCAACCCCCCCTACAGCAACCACCGCATAACACCGCCTTCATATAAATATACACTCACATAAGGAACCCACAAAAGAGGGAGCAGAAGCACTTTGTATGCCACTATATATGGCGTATAACAAGTGACTGTAAACGGGAGACCTACCAGAGAGTTGGAAGACAGCTAACATAGTCCCAATCAACATCTAGGGGGATAGACAGGAGACCCTAAACTGCAGGCCGGTGTCATTAACTTGTATACCATGCAAGGTGATGGAGAAGATAGTGAGAAACAGCCTGGTAGCACATATGGAGAGAAGGGACTTTGTAACACGTTATCAGCATGGGTTCACGGAAGGCAAGTCGTGTCTCACAGGTTTAATAGAATTCTATGACCAAGCAACAAGCATTAAGCAAGAAGACAAGGATGGACACACTGCATTTTTTTTGACTGTCAGAAAGCGTTTTACACAAGCTGGAGTGAGTGGTACGGTGCTCTAATGGATAAGGGAGCAACAGGAATAACAGGAAGTAAAGAGTTGCTGTGAGCGGGGAGACCTCAGACTGGCGTGATGTTCCCAGCGGAGTCCCACAGGGCTCTGTACTCGAACCTATCCTGTTTCTGATTTACGTGAATAAATTCTGGAAGGTATAGACTCTTTCCTCTCAATGTTTGCTAATGTTGCTAAAAAGATTAAGGATTATGAGAAGGGTCATGAGAAGGATTGAGACAGAGGAGGACAGCAGGAGGCTACAGGATGACATAGATAGACTAAAGGAATGGTTCAACAAATGGCTAGTAGAGTTTAACTCAAGCAAGTGCAAAGTGATGAAGATAGGCGTTGGGAGCAGGAGGCCAAACACAAGGTACCAGTTAGGAGAGGAAATCCTTCACGAGTCAGGACTAGAGAAAGATCTGGGGATTGATATCACACCAGACCAGTCCCCTGAAGTCCACATCAAAAGGGATAACATCAGCGGCGTATGCAAGATTGCCAAATATAAGAAGTGCATTCAGAAACTTGTGTAAGGAATCATTCAGAGCCTTGTATACCCATATGTCAGACCAACATTGAAGTATGTAGCTCCAGCTTGGAGTTCACATCTAGTCAAACACAAAACGAAGTTAGAAAACGTTCAGAGGTATGCAACCAAGGTGAAAGGAATGAGCTATGAGGAAATATTACTGGAACCGAACCTCATGACACTGGAAGACCCAAGAGTAACGGGAGACATGATCACAGCCTCCAAAATTCTCAGTGGAATTGACAGGGTAGATAAACATAAACTGTTTAACATAGATGGTACGAAAACAAGGGGACACAGGTGGAAACTGAGTACCCAAATGAGCCACAGAGACATTAAAAAGGACTTTTGCAGTGTCAGAGTAGTTAACAGATGGAATGCATTGAGTAGTGATGTGGTTCAGGCAGACTCCATACACAGTTTCATATGTAGATATGATAGAGCCCAGTAGGCTAAGGAATCTGTACATCATTTGACTGACAGTTGAGAGGCGGGACCAAAGAGCCAGAGCTCAACCTCCGCAAGCACAAGTAGGTGAGTACAAAACGCACCCCCAGCCCACAACAACCTCAAAAAGCAGCCCCCACATCAAGCAGCCCCCCACATCAAGCAGCCCCTACAACAAGCAGCCCCCACATCATGCATCCCTCACATCAAGCAGCCCCCACATCAAGCAGCCCCCACATCAAGCAGCCCCCACAACAAGCAGCCCCGAAAACAAGCAGCCCCCACATCAAGCAGCCCCCATAACAAGCAGCCCCCACATCAAGCAGCCCCCACAACAAGCAGCCCCCACATCAAGCAGCCCCCACATCAAGCAGCCCCCACAACAAGCAGCCCCCACGTCAAGCAGCCCCCACAATAAGCAGCCCCCACATCAAGCAGCCCCCACAACAAGCAGCCCCCACATCAAGCAGCCCCCAAAACAAGCAGCCCCCACATCAAGCAGCCCCCAAAACAAGCAGCCCCCACAACAAGCAGCTCCCACAACAAGCAGCCCCTACAACAAGCAGCCCCACAACAAGCAGCCCCCACAACAAGCAGTCCCCCACAACAAGCAGCCCGCACAACAAGCAGCCCCCACATCAAGCAGCCTCCACAACAAGCAGCTCCCACAACAAGCAGCCCCTACAACAAGCAGCCCCACAACAAGCAGCCCCTACAACAAGCAGCCCCACAACAAGCAGCCCCCACATCAAGCAGCCCCAACATCAAGCAGCCCCTACAACAAGCAGCCCCACAACAAGCAGCCCCTACAACAAGCAGCCCCACAACAAGCAGCCCCCACATCAAGCAGCCCCAACATCAAGCAGCCCCCACATCAAGCAGCCCCCAAAACAAGCAGCCCCCACATCAAGCAGCCCCCACAACAAGCAGCTCCCACAACAAGCAGCCCCTACAACAAGCAGCCCCACAACAAGCAGCCCCACAACAGCCCCCACAACAAGCAGCCCCCCACATCAAGCAGCCCCCACAACAAGCAGCCCCCACAACAAGCAGCCCCACAACAAGCAGCCCCCACAACAAGCAGCCCCCCACATCAAGCAGTCCCCACAACAAGCAGCCCCCACATCAAGCAGTCCCCACAAGCAGCCCCACAACAAGCAGCCCCCACCACATCAAGCAGCCCCCATCAAGCAGCCCACACACAGCAGCCCCCACATCAAGCAGCCCCAAAATCAAAGCAGCCCCCACGTCAAGCAGCCCCCACATCAAGCAGCCCCAACCTCAAGCAGCCCCCACAACAAGCAGCCCCAACCTCAAGTAGCCCCCACAACAAGCAGCCCCCACAACAAGCAACCCCCACAACAAGCAGCCGCCACATCAAGCAGCCCCCACATCAAGCAGCCCCCCACATCAAGCAGCCCCAAAACAAGCAGCCCCCACATCAAGCAGCCCCCCCATCAAGCAGCCCCAAAACAAGCAGTCCCCACATCAATCAAGCCGCCCCAACATCAAGCAGCCCCCACATCAAGCAGCCCCAAACAAGCAGCCCCAAAATCAAGCAGCCCCCACGTCAAGCAGCCCCCACATCAAGCAGCCCCCACAACAAGCAGCCCCAACCTCAAGCAGCCCCCACAACAAGCAGCCGCCACATTAAGCAGCCGCCACATCAAGCAGCCCCCACATCAAGCAGCCCCACATCAAGCAGCCCCCACAACAAGTAGCCCCCAAAACAATCAGCCACCACAACAAGCAGCCGCCACATCAAGCAGCCGCCACATCAAGCAGCCCCACATCAAGCAGCCCCCACAACAAGCAGCCGCCACATCAAGCAGCCCCAACATCAAGCAGCCCCCACAACAAGCAGCCCCCACAACAAGCAGCCCCCACATCAAGCAGCCCCAACATCAAGCAGCCCCCACATCAAGCAGCCCCACAACAAGCAGCCCCCACATCAAGCAGCCCCAACATCAAGCAGCCGCCACATCAAGCAGCCCCCACGTCAAGCAGCCCCTACATCGAGCAGCCCCTACATCAAGCAGGCCCCACATCAAGCAGCACCCACATCAAGCAGCCCCTACATCAAGCAGCCCCCACGTCAAGCAGCCCCTACATCAAGCAGCCCCCACATCAAGCAGCCCCCACATCAAGCAGCCCCCACATCAAGCAGCCCCCACATCAAGCAGCCCCCACACACATCAAGCAGCCCCCCACATCAAGCAGCCCCCACATCAAGCAGCCCCCACATCAAGCACCCCAACATCAAGCAGCCCCCACGTCAAGCAGCCCCTACATCAAGCAGCCCCTACATCAAGCAGCCCCTACATCAAGCAGCACCCACATCAAGCAGCCCCTACATCAAGCAGCCCTCACATCAAGCAGCCCCCACAACAAGCAGCCCCCACATCAAGCAGCCCCCAAAACAAGCAGCCCCCACATCAAGCAGCCCCCAAAACAAGCAGCCCCCACAACAAGCAGCTCCCACAACAAGCAGCCCCTACAACAAGCAGCCCCACAACAAGCAGCCCCCACAACAAGCAGTCCCCCACAACAAGCAGCCCGCACAACAAGCAGCCCCCAACATCAAGCAGCCTCCACAACAAGCAGCTCCCACAACAAGCAGCCCCTACAACAAGCAGCCCCACAACAAGCAGCCCCTACAACAAGCAGCCCCACAACAAGCAGCCCCCACATCAAGCAGCCCCAACATCAAGCAGCCCCCACATCAAGCAGCCCCCAAAACAAGCAGCCCCCATATCAAGCAGCCCCCCACAACAAGCAGCTCCCACAACAAGCAGCCCCTACAACAAGCAGCCCTACAACAAGCAGCCCCACAACAAGCAGCCCCACATCAAGCAGCCCCCACAACAAGCAGCCCCCACAACAAGCAGCCCCCACAACAAGCAGCCCCCGCATCAAGCAGCCCCAACATCAAGCAGCCCCCACATCAAGCAGCCCCCACAAGCAGCCCCAAAATCAAGCAGCCCCCACGTCAAGCAGCCCCCACATCAAGCAGCCCCCACATCAAGCAGCCCCCACAACAAGCAGCCCCAACCTCAAGCAGCCCCCACAACAAGCAGCCGCCACATTAAGCAGCCGCCACATCAAGCAGCCCCCACATCAAGCAGCCCCCACATCAAGCAGCCCCCACAACAAGTAGCCCCCAAAACAATCAGCCCCCACAACAAGCAGCCGCCACATCAAGCAGCCGCCACATCAAGCAGCCCCCACATCAAGCAGCCCCCACAACAAGCAGCCGCCACATCAAGCAGCCCCAACATCAAGCAGCCCCCACAACAAGCAGCCCCCACAACAAGCAGCCCCCACATCAAGCAGCCCCAACATCAAGCAGCCCCCACATCAAGCAGCCCCCACAACAAGCAGCCCCCACATCAAGCAGCCCCAACATCAAGCAGCCGCCACATCAAGCAGCCCCCACGTCAAGCAGCCCCTACATCGAGCAGCCCCTACATCAAGCAGGCCCCCACATCAAGCAGCACCCACATCAAGCAGCCCCTACATCAAGCAGCCCCCACGTCAAGCAGCCCCTACATCAAGCAGCCCCCACATCAAGCAGCCCCCACATCAAGCAGCCCCCCACATCAAGCAGCCCCCACATCAAGCAGCCCCCACATCAAGCAGCCCCCCACATCAAGCAGCCCCCACATCAAGCAGCCCCCACATCAAGCACCCCAACATCAAGCAGCCCCCACGTCAAGCAGCCCCCACGTCAAGCAGCCCCTACATCAAGCAGCCCCTACATCAAGCAGCCCCTACATCAAGCAGCCCCTACATCAAGCAGCACCCACATCAAGCAGCCCCATACATCAAGCAGCCCCCACATCAAGCAGCCCCTACATCAAGCAGCCCCCCACATCAAGCAGCCCCCACATCAAGCAGCCCCCACATCAAGCAGCTCCCACATCAAGCAGCCCCTACGTCAAGCAGCCCCTACGTCAAGCAGCCCCACGTCAAGCAGCCCCTACATCAAGCAGCCCCCACATCAAGCAGCCACCCCACATCAAGCAGCCCCCCACATCAAGCAGCCCCCACGTCAAGCAGCCCCCACGTCAAGCAGCCCCCCACAAGCAGCCACCACATCAAGCAGCCCCCACGTCAAGCAGCCCCCACGTCAAGCAGCCCCCACATCAAGCAGCCCCCACATCAAGCAGCCCCCACATCAAGCAGCCCCCACATCAAGCAGCCCCCACATCAAGCAGCCCCCACATAAGCCAAGCACCACATGAGAAATCCTATACGGTCTACCTCACATAAAGAAGCAACCGGATGAACTTAGTCTCCACATAAAGCAACTCTCACATAACACAACCATAAGATACAATAGTGTCCACATATACGGACACTAACCCAGGCAGCCACAACGTGAACAAGACATGTAGTAACCCGAACATGTAGTGTGTGTGTGTGTGTGTGTGTGTGTGTGTGTGTGTGTGTGTGTGTGTGTGTGTGTGTGTGTGTGTGTGTGTGTGTGTGTTCACCTAGTTGTACTCACCTATTTGTGCCTGCAGGATCGAACATTGACTCGTGGATCCCGCGTTTCTAGCCATCGGTTGTTTACAGCAATGACTCCTGTCTCATTTCCTTCTCATACCTAGTTTTAAAATTATGAAGAGAGTTTGCTTCCACAACCTGCTCCTTAAGTGCATTCCATGTTTCCACTAAAAGAATACTTCCTAACATCTCTGACTCATCTGAGTTTCCAGCTTCCATCCATGTCCCCTCGTTCAGTTAGTATTCAGAGTGAACATTTCATCTATTTCAAATTTACTTTATATGTTCCTATCATATGCCCCCTCTCCGATCTTTTTTCTAGTGTCGTAAGGTTCAGTTCCTACAGGCGCTTTTCATACTCCATCACTCGTAACTCTGGGACGAGTCTCGTAGCAAACTTCTGAACCTTTTCCAGTTTTCTAATGCGTTTCTTCAGGTGGGGACTCCATGATGGCGCGGCATACTCTTAAGACTGGCTTCAAAGAGGCAGTGTAACGCGCCCTAAATGCCTCCTCACTTAGGTTTCTGAATGATGTTCTAACTTTTGCCAGTGTAGAGTGTATTTGTGTGTACTCACCTAATTGTACTCACTTAATTGTGCTTGCGAAGGTTGAGCTCTGGCACTTTGGTCCCGCCTCTCAACGGTCAATCAACAGGTGTACAGGTTCCTGAGCCTTCTGGGCTCTATCATATCTACACTTGAAACTGTGTATGGAGTCAGCCTCCACCACATCACTTCCCTAATGCATTCCATTTGTCAACCACTCTGACACTAAAAAAGTTCTTTCTAATATCTCTGTGGCTCATTTGGGCACTCAGTTTCCACCTGTGTCCCCTAGTACGTGTGCCCCTTGTGTTAAATAGCCTGTCTTTATCTACCCTATCAATTCCCTTGAGAATCTTGAATATGGTGATCATGTCCCCCCTAACTCTTCTGTCTTCCAGCGAAGTGAGGTTTAATTCCCGTAGTCTCTCATCGTAGTTCATACCTCTCAGCTCGGGTACTAGCCTGGTGGCAAACCTTTGAACCTTTTCCAGTTTAGTCTTATCCTTGACTAGAATATGGACTCCATGCTGGGGTCGCATACTCCAGGATTGGCCTGACATATGTGGCCATACAAAGTTCTGAATGATTCCTTACACAAGTTTCTGAATGCCGTTCGTATGTTGGCCAGCCTGGCATATGCCGCTGATGTTATCCTCTTGATATGGGCTGCAGGAGACAGGTCTGGCGTGATGTCAACCTCCAGGTCTTTTTCTCTCCCTGACTCTTGAAGAATGTGTGTGTGTGTGTGTGAGAGAGAGAGAGAGAGAGGAGAGAGAGAGAGGAGAGAGAGAGAGAGAGAGAGAGAGAGAGAGAGAGTGAGAGAGATGAGAGAGAGAGAGAGAGAGAGAGAGAGAGAGAGAGAGAGAGAGAGAGAGAGAGAGAGAGAGAGAGAGAGAGAGAGGGAGAGAGAGAGAGAGTGAGAGAGAGAGAGTGAGAGAGAGAGAGAGAGAGGAGAGAGAGAGAGAGAGAGAGAGAGGAGAGAGGAGAGAGAGAGAGAGGAGAGAGTGAGAGAGAGAGAGAGAGAGAGAGAGAGGAGAGAGAGAGAGAGAGAGAGAGAGAGAGTGAGAGGGAGAGAGAGAGATGCGGGAGAGAGAGAGAGAGAGTGAGGAGAGAGAGAGAGAGAGAGAAGAGAGAGAGAGGAGAGAGAGAGAGAGGGCGAGATGAGAGAGAGAGGCAGAGAGAGAGAGAGAGAGAGAGAGAGGAGAGAGGTAGTGAGTGAGTGAGAGAGAGGATGAGGAGAGAGAGAGAGGAGAGAGGTGAGAGAGAGAGAGAGAGAGAAACAATAAGGAAATTCAAATGATACATTTCGTGAACGTTGATGCATGTTTTAATGTCCTGGGGCATCATAAAACCACAGCAGGCGAATGTGTCTCCTCATAACGGAGGAGCTCAGAATTTCAACATTGCCTTGCAATATTATCTGCTCTAATAAAGTGCGTAATTAATATATAATATTGTCACGGATTGATTTCATTCACTCAAAACCTCACTCACTCTCTTACTCACTCACGAACATACTACCACTCTTACATCCATCACCAAATTCATCAGAATCGCACGACAAATATGCTCACCATGCCCACAAACACTCACCATGATGGATATGGTGATCAGTTTCACCATACATAGGTCACCAAACACAGCACCACAACACCCACACAACCATGACAACCGCACAGCAACAAATGTCTACTGATAATGCAAACATAAACAGAAGGAAATACTACTGAAGATTGTAAAAATTACAGGATGGTGAGCCTGTCGGCGCGAGCGGACAGCACGCTGGACTTGTGATCCTGTGGTCCTGGGTTCGATCCCGGGCGCCGGCGAAAAACAATGGGCAGAGTTTCTTTCCACCCTATGCCCCTGTTAACCTAGCAGTAAAATAGGTACCTGGGTGTTAGTCAGCTGTCACGGGCTGCTTCCTGAGGGTGGAGGCCTGGTCGAGGACCCGGCCGCGGGGACATTAAAAAGCCCCGAAATCATCTCAAGATAACCTCAAGATATGAACAAATCCACAAGGGCCGTGACGAGGATTCGAACCTGCGTCTGTGAGCATCCCAGACGCTGCCTTAATCGACTGAGCTACGACATGGTCAAAAGGAGTTGAAACTGAAGTTCTACTAAACTTACTGGATCCTGCAGCCTCTCAGAGGCACAGCCAGGGTTTAACAACAACTCCCCCCTGCACTCGAGCTATGTCAATAGGTCGTGTCGATTGTCAATTTGGACCATGTCGTTTGCTCAGTCGATTAAGGCAGCGTCTTGGATGCTCTCGGATTCAGGTTCGAATCCTCGTCACGGCGCTTGTGGATTTGTTCAGTTGATGCATCACGCAATTGTGATTTCTGTGTGTAATTACAGGATGATCAGGATAAATGAGAGGACTCAACACGTGGCTACTAGAATTTAACTCACACAAGTGCAAAGTCTCACAGTGATATATATAGCTATGGCTGGAGAACCCCGTTCTCGCAAATGTAATAAGTCAATATTGACTTATTAAATATGTGCATAGGTGACATACTTAACATAATAGTTTCCCTTGAAAAGCTTCATAGAAAACACCGACCTTACCTAACCTACTTAGTATGTAAGATAAGCATCTTATTGCTTCGTAATTACATTATTACCTAACCTATACCTATAATAGGTTAAGTAACAATTGTAATTACGAAGCTATAAGATGCTTATTTTAACATACTAAGTAGGTTAGGTAGATCGGTGTTTTCTATGAAGCTTTTCAAGGGAAACTATTATGTTTAGTATGTCACCTATGCACGCAACTAATAAGTCAATATTGACTTATTAAATTTTGCGAGAACGGGTTGGGCTGTAATCACTTGAATTACACAATTTATTACAGCCTATAGTAATCATATATATATATATATAATATATATATATCTATATATATATATATATATATATATTAAATATGACCGAAAAAGTAAGATTAATAATTCTAACACGAATTTTCTCAATCTTTCGTACATTACGCTTCACTGTTGGAGGTAAATCAAAAATCACTTCTCCAAAATTCATTTTTATTTCTAGTCTGACGCGACACGGGCGCGTTTCGTAAAACTTATTACATTTTCAAAGACTTCACAAATCAACAACTGATTAGAACGTATCTCTGATTTTATATCTACATTTGAGTGAGGTGGGAAGGGTGATGTGGCATTAACACAAGACAGAACAGGAGGGGATATTAATAGGGTATTAAAAGTATCAACACAAGACAGAACAGAAACAATGGGTATTGAATAGAAGTGTTTGTAGAAAGCCTATTGGTCCATATTTCTTGATGCTTCTATATTGGAGCGGAGTCTTGAGGTGGGGTAGAATATAGTTGTGCAATAATTGGCTGTTGATTGCTGGTGTTGACTTCTTGATGTGTAGTGCCTCGCAAACGTCAAGCCGCCTGCTATCGCTGTATCTATCGATGATTTCTGTGTTGTTTACTAGGATTTCTCTGGCGATGGTTTGGTTCTAGTAAAATCCTAGTAAACAACACAGAAAATCATCGATAGATACAGCGATAGCAGGCGGCTTGACGTTTGCGAGGCACTACACATCAAGAAAGTCAACACCAGCAATCAACAGCCAATTATTGCACAACTATATTCTACCCACCTCAAGACTCCGCTCCAATATAGAAGCATCAAGAAATATGGACCAATAGGCTTTCTACAAAAAACTCTATTCAATACCCATTGTTTTCTGTTCTGTCTTGTGTTGATACTTTTAATACCCTATAATATCCCCTCCTGTTCTGTCTTGTGTTAATGCACATCACCCTTCCCACCTCACTCAAATGTAGATATAAAATCAGAGATACGTTCTAATCAGTTGTGTATTTGTGAAGTCTTTGAAAATGTAATAAGTTTTACGAAACGCGCCCGTGTCGCGTCAGACTAGAAATAAAAATGAATTTTGGAGAAGTGATTTTTGATTTACCTCCAACAGTGAAGCGTAATGTACGAAAGATTGAGAAAATTCGTGTTAGAATTATTAATCTTACTTTTTCGGTCATATTTAATAATATATGTCTACAGGAAAGCTGCTAATGCTACCAAAATAATACTAATATATATGATATATATATATATATATATATATATTAATATATATATATATATAGATATATATATATATAT